CAACGAGCATTTCTAGGCACAGGCCTCTAATTAGCCTAGGTAGGGCTACTCTCGATGAATGGGTGTAGGGAAGATATGCCTCTACACTTCTAATCGTTCTTCAGTACAAGGGGGTGCTTGTAACTATCATAGTGAGTGTGGTCAGTCACTGAAATGGGGCAGTCAAGGTGCTAGATCCGCGAGAGACAAGAGTGGCTATGTTGAAGTTCACATCCACATTCAATGATGGTTTACTCCATCGCTTGGAACTTTGAAGATATCAATTTGGTTTGATCCTCGGTTCCTTGCCCCACCATCAATCCGATATCTCCAATGTCTATTCCTTTTTCTCGAATTAAACGGGCTTAACTGTGCAGGCAGGCCACCCAGTACGTTCACATCGATAGGGTGTTGGACGCCTGCTATCGCAAAGCCATACCCGCTTTTGCCCCAGTTTGGCAATGTGAGCAATATACGTATCATTACTGGGAAGTACATCGCCGCTATCCATTCCGACGTAGCCAACACCCTGCGCGTATAAGTGGCAGCTATGTCAGAGACGAAATGCGAGGCATTGACAACGTGCTATTTTGCATGTATTGCGTGCTCGAAAGATGATCGGATTACAAATCGATGCATTGAGCTGAGGAGGCATTGCCGAGGGGCACGGGGGGATATATCGCGTCTTGTATCTTGGAGATTCGCTGAGAGCCTGGAAATCCAAATGATTTCCCGAGCGTCCTCTTTTTGGTTGACAACGTGAGCGTCTTGATGCATCACTAGTTATGGCTACGGCTGCGGTTCAACTTGCGCCAGGTACCGTCCTCGGACAGGTCGTCGAACCTCTTGCTTCAAAGAATAAGTCTCCGAAGCACGATGTTGCGGCGGAGTTATACTACTACAAGGATCCCGGTGACGGAACCCCACCGGCTCCATCTTACGTCGGGTGAGTTCCTCGCGTTGGTCGAATATAGATGGAATCTTGAATCTGAGACCAGAGCCATCAGAAGGCCCGCCACTTATCAACGCCCTCACGTCGCTCAGAACGTCATCATCCATGACATTTCCGGAGACGAGGATAAATACACCGTCGACAGTCATGGTTTCCAGTACGTGAACCATGAGAGCAAGGAGAAGGATTTCCTCGACGACGAGAAGATCAAGGCGGAATACTACCCCGAAGTTGAGCAGCTTCTGAAGGATACGTAAGAACTCACCCCAGTTCGCCATCCGACCAGCAAAGAAAGCGTGCACTAATGTATTTGATATATCTTCCACAGCACTGGAGCATCTCGCATTTTCATATTCGACCACACAATTCGCCGCGCAACCTCAGATGTGCGTGACATCGCGGGCCAACTTCGTGGCCCTGCACGCCGCGTCCACATCGACCAGTCTTATGGTGCCTCGGAGAACCGTGTCAAGTACCACCTCCCCGATGAAGCCGACGAGCTCCTGAAGAAGCGCTACCAGATTATCAATGTGAGTCCCTCTAGTGACCACATCTCCCTCTTCCTTTCCCCCAGTCGAACGCGATTGATTGACTCACCCTTTCCCGATCCGCAGGTCTGGCGACCGATAAAGACGATTCTCAGAGACCCCCTCGCCCTCGCCGACGCCCATTCCGTGCCCGATAGTGACCTCGTCCCGGCCAAGCTGATCTACCCGGACCGCGAGGGCGAGACGTACGCGGTCAAACCTAACCCGAACCACCAGTGGTACTTCAAGTACGGGCAACGGTCCGATGAGCCGCTGCTCATCAAGTGCTTCGATTCCATCAACGACGGACGCGCAAGGAGGATTCCACACACAGCGTTCGTCGATCCTGCGCATGAGGATGATCCGCCCAGAGAGAGCATCGAGGTGAGGACGCTGGTGTTCTATGATTATTAGCCTTCCCTGAAGCCCGAGGGGTTGCGACGGCATTGTTTTGATAGCATTGTCAGGGGGTTTCAACCACGATCTGTGGCCAGCCATCTACCTTTTAGCATTTGCCAATACAGCGAATCGTCTTCGTTCATGCGCAGCGAGTGCCGCCCAAAACCAGTAATCGTGTCACCACTTCACTCGTGTAGCTCCTGCAGCTTTCTTCCGAGTTTATGTTCTTTGTCGCAGCGGTCGAATCAATTTCAGGCTGTCACCAGAATATGCTGAACGTTCGCACATCAAGATATATGTACGAACATTGCCATCTGACCTTGATCGAAGAAGGAAGCTCTAGGGAGACGTTAGAACCTCTCCACGACGTGCTTCCTGTCAGAGGTGTGATCAAACTTCAATGATCTGTCGATGGCAAGAAAATATGAAGATACCTCTCGGTAGGATGGTGGAACGACAGCGATGAGGCGTGTCTATTCTGGCTCTTGCTCATGACGTTGCGTTTCTCCTCCTCTCATCAAAACACCCACACCAAGGATTCGACACACAGGATCAGAGATTGACATGCTCCTGAAACACATCTTCGCCAACGAAGCACTCTGATATGGCAGGTCAGCTCACTGCATCCACATGATTTGCCCGTCTCGTGTAACCCCAACCGCCGGACTTTACGGCCGCAAATGGCACCGTCGGAGTGTGAGATGGAGACCGAGAAATCCTACAAGTAGGCAGAGGAGGGATAAACGCTAGGCAACTTTGGGAATATTGCCGTCCCCGCATACTAGTGCCCCCCCCCCCCCCCCCCCCCCCCCCCCCCCCCCCCCCCCCCCCCCCCCCCCCCCTACGGGGGCCCCCGAAAGCCCCCCTTCCCCGGTCTCGACTCTCTATAGATTCGGGGACGGCAAGCTCAGCGTCACACCGCGATCAATCTGAAGTCATTCGAACTGGTTTTGAATGCACTTGGACATTGTCTCTGGCCTCGGATTTTGCACTCAGCACGAGTCGATGTATGCCCCTTCATGCCCCTTCATCCCTCACTGGGCAGTTCCGATCCTGCCTCAACCTTCCTTCAGATCCCTTTGCTCAAGCCTCTTGTACCTTGACCAAGATTTTCACGAGACCATTCTTGTCCGCGATCAGCCGGCCAAACCCTCCTCGACTGCCTCGTCCAATTTGATCACGGATGAGATCATCGCCTTCGGTTGAAGGGCTCCTGAGTAGGAATCGTTACTGGTGCCTGTGGTAGCGGATGAAACCCGACGGGCACTTACTCAAACCTATGGCCTCAATGACTTCTGCAGAGTGATCCTTCAAGTGCACCATCGTTCCGACATATCTCTTCTCTCCTAGCCGAAGCGCCAGCGTATTGATGCGTGGCTGCTCCGTCCACGTCGCAACATTGACAAGGGAGGGCCCCGCACGAGATGCAGCCAGAGCCAAATCCAACCCTGCTTGCACTCCGGCCGCGTCGACAAATATGGCAGGGCCCTCTCCTCGGCAGATTTCTTTACATTTTGCGGTCGCATCGGGTGTACTGGGGTCGAGGACGTGTATAGCACCGATGTGCCTGGCGAGTTCCTGTCTTCGTGCGGAGATCTGATGAACGAAGGTTGAGTTGTGGAACTGTCTGGTTGATTGTGTTCTGTCCCCCTGGCTATTCAGAGAGACTCTGCCTGTTTATATATACATTGGCCCATAACTATAAGAGCATTCCTGAAACCTCCTATTCCGTCGCCATCCTATCACAGGTCTGCAGGAACAACGAGGTTGAGGCAAATTGCGCAGTTGGTGAAGCGCCTAGCGTCTCAGGTGGTTTGCTCCAGTGATGCTCTCGCGACCCTGTCAACAAGATCTCTGACACTACGATCCCGCCAGCGCCCCAAGCCTTCAGGACTTGAATGACGGCAAGTCCGACAGGTCCAGCTCCTATCACGAGCGTGTCGTCGCCCTTTTGCAAGGTGCGATTCGTGATCGCGTGCCACGCCACATCTAGTGGTTCAACAAATGCTAAACGGCGGGACATTTATTTAGTGCCCGCTGGGCTGGATCATTTGCAGTATCAGGAGTTGTACTTACCACCCTCTTCTAGACTGATTTTCGAGGGCAATTCGAATACGTTGTTTCGAGGAACAACAACACTTTGGGCGAGGCCTCCCGTCGTTGAAGCTGGCATTCGATTTTGTCAGTGTCGGCTGCTCAGGATCTTGTCCCGATTGACCTGCACCAGAGAAACCGATCGATGCCAACTTCACACAGCAATTCGGTCGACCGCGCTGACATGCCCTGCAAGTAGAGTCAGACAGCAGTGGATATACTGCTGCTCTGTCGCCAGCTTGGAGGTCGTCTATATCCAAGCCACATTCGACAACCGTTGCGCTGAACTCGTGACCTAGCGTCACCGGTAACTTGTCTCCCGTCAAAGGATGTGGCTCATTAGGGGGGGGTGTAATTGGCCTGGCCTCATATTCGTGAAGGTCTACAAGGCAAGGGGCTGTCAGTGCTGTCTCTCCCGTATTGCCCAATGACCTCAGCAGACGGACATTCACATGCACGAACCTGTCCTGCAAATGCCCGAGAACCCGGGTTTGAGTTTCGAGATGGTCAGCTGAGATAAGCATAAGACTAAGGCGCAGAGAAGCAGTAGGGCCTTAACCTGACCATTTCCATAGATAGGCTCATCGATATCGTCGAGACGAAGGTCTCGCGCTCCGTAAAACCTGAGAGCTTTCATTCCTGTTTCAAAACGTACTTTGGTGAATGGTGAGAATAACTCGACTGATCTCCACAGCGGATATTAAATACGCCCCTAACCGGCAACGGCTTCCGGACGCCTTCTACAATGGAATATTATATACTGGCGGAGTGTAGACTTTTGAATGTTTTCTTCGGGATCATTATGCATCAGGCAGAGATTTTGTGGCAACTCGGGATCGTCTTTAGGCCATCGATTTACCGTGGTTGCGCGGAGAGTCAGTGTCACCGTAGATCCTTGAAGACAACTGGGCACGGATGTCTGGGGAGCAGTAGTCAAATTCCGGCTAATGGAGCCGACTCAGCACGGGATGGAAGCATGAATGCACTCGATTTGTATCTTGAATTCATGCTATTGTGGTTGCCGAATCAACCAGGTTTCTTGGAATCGACTACTGTGCCATTTGGGCCATGCCGGCAGCAAATTCGACGGGATCCGTCACGGTTATGGTTCTCAGCTCCAAGAACTCGTCTAACCCGTACGATCCGTTCTGTTTCGCCCACCCGCTGGCCTTCGTCAATCCCACCGACAGAGTCGCCTCGTCCCACCCCGTGCCCATGGGGAAATTGACGTGCGTCTGCCCGACCTCTATACGGCTCGCGACTTTCATGGCCCGCGCAATGTCTCTACTGTAGACTCCAGCGCTGAGACCGTACTTGGTGCTGTTGGCCAGTTCGATTGCTTCCTCGTCATTGTCCACAGTGTACACAGCAAGGGCATCTCCTCTAAATGAAAAGCTGCGATATTGATATTGAAAGCGGCCCAGGGCTCAGGGCAGTTAGTCTCCTCGACTTGCAACTTTATCAATTCGGCCTCGTTTTCACGAATCAATGTCGCCGTCTTTTCCAAGATAGTCCGGCGCATGCGCGGAAGGCTTTGCGACCACGAGCGGAAGGCGGTCTGCGCAGATTCTACCGCGGCCACGGCGTCTTCTGGAGTTGCACTGACGTATCTGACATAGTCGGTCTTGAGATAGCTGGAGGTGTTGGTCACTACCGCAGGGCCTGCTGGCGAGACAGCTTTGTTGTCGATGATTAGAGGCAGGGTCTTCACAGAGGCCATGGTGTTCACTTGCAGCTTTCAGTATGAACGGTCACAATTCAAAGAACCGCGGCAAGTTAGTATAACCATTGCAGGTACGTGGAATGCAGTCTCGATATTTAACAATTCAACGGCCTGTTGCCCCTGCAAGCAGCCAACGAGGGGACTGGCCAGCTGAAGGATTGGTGGAGACAATAAAATCGGCAATTTTCTTCTTTTGGCAAAGCTAGACTAGATGCTTTTGCGCCTACATACCTCACTGACATGGTCGGAGGCCTAGTGCGTTGCACGCCGGACTATATTTCCACCTTATTACCTGGCTGACGTTCATTTTGTGTGGAAAACAGAGTGAGCCTCACTCGCAATCATATGTTCGTGGTCAAAATCGTTCTAAAAAAACAAAAAACAAAAAAAAAACAATGGAGGTTGTGCAGGGTTTGAAATACGTAGATTGAGGAAAACAGACTGTCCCAGGCTTAGTGCCTCTCGGACTCAGCAGATATGATTGATTTAGTCGTACTTCGAGAAAACTTCAGCTTCTGCCTGAGCAAACTCTCTCATGATGGTTTGGACCCTCTCAGCGGACCGAGGAACTACTTTGCAAGGAAAGTCCTTGGTGCAAGTGATCAAACCTTCACTCCATCCCGTGGCGTAATTGGTGTCTGGCTCCATGACTCGACCGGCTTCGTCAATCTGCTTCTCAAATGAGAAAGCCCACAACAGCTTCGCCATGCCAAGGAAGAGATTGCGCTCGGCAAGATGGATGCCTGGACAGAGTCTCCGGCCAGCGCCTTAAGTGTATCAATAAAAGTTCCGACGGAAATAGGCAGGAAGTCCAGCCTAAATAGAGAGAATAGAGGCACTCACCATATATGTAGTGATCACGGGAGTTGTAATCGGGCGATGCAGCGTATTCTGGAGCAAGGAGTGTACGTCCGGTATATCTTGCGGGATTAAACTTGTCTGGTTCAGGAAACTTCGCTTCGTCCTGGTGTAAGCCCCATGCGTTCAGAAGGACAATACTGCCTTTGGGCACAAATTTACCATCGACCCAGTCGTCTATGCGCATCGGTAGAGGTGGTTAGGGATAGTTCTGTGAGAATGAGAAGCAATGATTAAGGGGTTGAGGAACTGACCGTGTGATGTCGCATGAGGTATGAGTCCACCAACTGGCCGCCATCTCATGGTCTCCTTGACGACTGCACTGACATAGGGTAGGCTTTTGTAGTCGGACCAAAGGGGAGAGCGACTACCATCCATCAATCCGTCGATCTCTTTCCGTGCCTCTTTCTGAACATCAGGATAACACGTCATAGCTTTGATAAAGTTGAGGAGAGCAGTGGCTGATGTATCGGATCCACCGTCCAGCGCAACACCGCCCAAAAGCAAGATTTGATGATTGGTGAGATTAAGTTTCTCTTCCTTATCAAGCACGCGATCCATTAGGGAGCTTCTGCTCCCTTGCTTCTGTCTTCTCTGCTTCACCACGTCGAGCAAATCACTGTACAGTTGGTGCATCTTTTGGTGGGTCTCATTAGCTCGTGAAACCCAGTTCCCAAGAAGTCGCTGGGGAACAAACTTCAAGAACGGATAGACATCAATCGGAGGCATCGCTCCTGTTTCCATGACGTGCGAGAAGTGCTCCATTGCATCATAGAGCCTGTGCATGTGAGGCGTACGAACAGTTGGCGTCCGTAGACCGTAGACTATATTTGCCAGCGGTTATGTTAGAGTGGTTTTCCAACTCTGAATGTATTTTGACTTACGAATACTCATGATGACGCTGTTGCTGAATCTCTTCGGATGGAGCAAATAGTTCTCAGGTTCGGTCACAAAGTCGCGCATCATCTGCACAGCCTCTGCGTTTTGAAGCACGATGTGCTCTTTCTCACACATTGATTCCATAAACTCCTGATGGATTAGTTTCCGCATTTTTCGCCATTCCGAATCATAAGGCATGGTGAGCAAGTAATCTCCCTTTGTGACGAGCTTCTGTATAATGTACGAGGTCGGGCGGTCACTGTAGACGGCACTTTTCTTGTCCAGAAGCTCACGGACGAGACGGCGGTCCGTCAGAACTATTATGGTTCCTGTTCCAACCTTCAACGAAAATATACCACCATATTGGCGAGCCCATTCTGTGAATCTACGAGAGTTTGTGAGATTGGGGTCTCCGAGAAGGTTGGAAATGCATACTTGAAATGCGCTCCTTTTGTAGGAATTTGGTGAATGTTTCCAATGAAGGGGAGCGTTGGAGGACCTGTGAGAGTGTTATCAGGATGGAGCTGGCACGATGATTGCCGGGAGAGAACTTGCCTGGAGGGTAAGTACGCCCCCGGTGGCCAATGAACACGATGGCGTAGAGGAGCAGACCAAGAAACGTGACGAGAATGGAGCTAGCAATGAAGAAGCCCATGTCGGCGATGCAGCTGGGTGCAAAGTCCTGTCTTTAACTTGACGAGCTGAGCGCGGCAAGTTCGACAAATAAATGCTTAGGAGGGGTTTGTCGCAACCGTGGGGAGATCATGGGCCCACCTCAGCCTCGTCTGACGTACTGGGAGGGCAGTGGGTACGGGAAAATGGAGCAATGGCCAATCGGCGATTAAGGCGACCAGCGTCCCGCCTGATTCTCAGTTACAAAAACATTTGGTGGCCACCCAACCCCAGCCCTTGGCGCTCTCCCACGAATTGGCATGCTAAAAAGCGGGGGGGCCAAGCGTGATAACCTCCACCACGGCCTTCGCAATGTCAAGCACACTGCCGTCCAACGTCGAAATCTTTTCATGTGTCGGTGTCGGGTCACTGCGAAGCAGAGAGACGCCATAGAACAAGGCTCAAACATGGCTCAAACATGGCTGACCTTTGCGAACGGCTCAATTCCCCATTTTCCAACTGTGAACCGAGCATGTAAGGGATGTAACAGGTGAGTGACTGGTCTACAATATCGAAACTTTCGCACCCAAGGACAGGATGGAACATGCTAACTCCTTTCAATATCAGGAAAAAGATCAAGTGTTAGTCTGAGCAGTGCTCCATATGCGACCTTCACCAATGACCTTGGATTCACTCTAAAGGCGATATGCGACGCCCTATCTGCGGCCTTTGCGAAAGGGTGGGCGCTTCTTGTACCTTTCCAATCAGGCAAAGGTCCTCAACTTGCCGTGCGAGAACACGAAGAACCCGAAAAAGCGGATATTCGCCAAGCTTCAGTGCTGTTCATGCGGACTATGGTGAGGCACCTTTCCCATAATTCATTGACATTGAACTTACAACGTTGCTGCACCTGATATTGAAATCACTAACACATGTAATCCAGTGGAAGATATCTCTGATCAGCACAAAGGTATGGGTGGCACTTTAGGTTTGAATCCACACCATACATTAGAGCAGACGGAATCTGGGTGACATCGTTGACATCAGTAAAGGCCGATCCCAGAACCTCGCCCTCCTCGACTCGAGAGATATAGTCCAGCAAAACTCAATAACTGGGTTGGAATGTCCATCACAGGAAACCATACAAGATTTTATTCGGAACCCATCAGCCAAGTGGAAGCTTAACCTTCATGCTCCCAGCCCAAATGCATTGCCACAAGAACCTGGTGCCCATTTCAACAGTGAGACAGCTCCCTGTGAGGTGAACTCAGAGGAAACCGGATGGCACATTCCAGACGCGGTAGCTTATGAGTTGTAAGTCTGTTTCATCTATTCGCCGGGTCCTGATACAGTTTCTTATTATCACAGAGTTGGATTGTTTTTTGACTATATTCAAAACTGGCTGCCTATACTACATCGTCCTCTCTTCTACCAAAAGTACGTTCGAGTCGAGAGTCATTATGGCCGAATTGTGGGCAGGCAGAGTGTTAGTGACCACGATGCAATCTTGATCAACTGCGTATTTGCGCTCGCTGCCCGGTTTTCCAAAGCAAGCTTCTTCCGTAGCACGGACCCCGTCCTAAGAGGCGAGGCTTTCGCAGAGCGAGCAGCAGCCATCAAGGATTCTATCCTCAAGGTCATCGAGGAACCGTCACTCGAACTTGTGAAAGGATGTGCCCTTCTGGCGTTTTACGACATTAGCGCTGGACACGCTGCACCTGGGTCGTTGCTTGTAAGCGTTTGTGTCCGTTTTGCTTATGACCTTGGGCTCAACGAGATCGACGAAGAGGACCAAACCAACTGTGGTACGGAAGAAAGCCAAGATGCTTGGATTCAAAAAGAAGAACTCCGTCGGCTTTGGTGGATCATTTATGAGCTCGACTGCTTTGTTTCGACAGTCTCGTGCCAGCCCTACGGGATTGAACGAGGGGAGATAAAGGTTCTTTTACCTGTCTCTGATCAGCACTGGTTCAACGGCCTCCCCGCTGGCTCTTCCTATCTTATTCAAAGTCCGGGCACCGTTTGGAAGAGCCTTGAAGGGTCAGAGAACCAAAGTCCTCGGGCTTGGTACCTGGTGACCAATTACCTCAAATCTTGCTTCGCTGACACCGCCCGCCAGCCAAAGCGCAATACATCAGAAACGCAGACGGCACTCGAAATGGATCTCGCATGTCTCAAACACGCATTGCCCGCTGACTTTCAACTACGATCGGTGAACATGGGCGAACATAACTTTGGTGACTGCAATTGGATCATATCGACGCATTTTATGATTTTATCGTGAGTGGTGACTTGGCGCTTGGCTGTTGTTTTTCTAATAGGCACAGGTGCGAAGCCCTTTTGGAGCGTAGAAGATGGTCTCAGAACAGATCGGAAACATCCCTCAACACAGGTCAGGAGGCCGCGATCTGGGGGCGGCACTTTTACTCGAGCCTGGTTCGGATCGCACTAATCTGGCCCCCCGAGTACATTCCGTTGAACCATCCGTTCATGGGCTGCTGTGTGATCAACCCGTGGGACGCTCTTGAAGCACGACGTGAGCCCAACTTCCAAAGCTACGAATTATCCAAGTTACTGCTAAGTCATTACTCGCGGTACTGGAAGATTGGCTGTGCTCTGCTCCGTAAGTTTGTCGCACTCTGCATAAA